GGGTAAACACCCGCCATGTACAAATCAGAGCGAGGGGCGGGAGATGTGAAGTGAGGACCTGTCCCTGCTCCGAGGAGCCGTTGACAGCCAGCGGCAGGCAGTTCAGCTGTAATGGAAGCCATGATGCCAAGGGGGCACAGTCTCTGGAACACTCTGGAAATGGGCCCTTTAGGGGACATTTGCAGGAGCTAATCCCCGGGAGCAGGGATGCTTCGATGGGGCGTGTCTGTCATCCCTGGGACTCTGGGCCTGCATCTCTGACGTGATCTGTGTCTAGCCCAAGCTCTTCAACGGGGCCACGGCCCCACATGGAGCTGTGGAACTGGAGCGTCAGGGGAACGCTGCTGAGAGAGCGTGATGCAAAACTACCCAGACCCAGCGCCTCAGTCAAGTAACGCTGGAGACATTACGCGGACTTGGCGGGCTACATTTACAAATAAATGTGTATATAAATGCATTTATGTGTGCAATAACAGTGAAAAAGAGGCCAAGAATTTGAAGGAGAGTGGGGGGGGCATATACTGGGAGGGTTTGGAGGGGGGGAAGGAAAAATATTATGATTAAATGGAGGTGTTTGCAGCATTTGACCGCATTGTATGACTCGGTGCTACTAAAGTCTTGGTTGTGAATGCACAAGTCTTGTGCACAATGTCCCAGCACCTAGTGACGCACGGAGCACCTGGGTTCACCTAACACAGCGTGTCAGGATAATATTGGTCCATCTCTGGATTGTATTACATAAGAATACTTGGGTTTAAAAATTGCCGTTTGAGTATCATACACAATTGTCCGATGAATCCTAGCTTGAGGTTAGAACAGAATTTCTGAGATGACCCTGAACACACATCTGCCACGCTATGATGTATGCACAGTGAGGCATGCTCAGATTGATGGTAGCAAAACCAAAGTACAACTGGGACCCGGCCAAGGTGAGAGATGCTCCTGGTCCTGCAGCCACATCCGGCTGAGATCTAATTCCTCAGGCAAAAATAAGTGCGTCCATCCCTCTCATTAGCACGCAGATACACGGCTGCCTTTAATAAACGATAAACTTATATGTATGCCAAATAATTGTTTTAAAATAAAGTTGTGATGTATTGTCGGCAAGAGTTTTATTTGTGTTCCTGTTTTATATACCTACATACCCAGGGCTGCGTGGGAATTTCTCTTGTGTAAAGGAGGAATCCCGTGCAGGGAATGTTTGCAAATACTTGCTCATACACACACCGTCTCCAGAACATGCCCTCCTCTGATACTTAAGAAGTCTATGCGAGATTTTTCCTTTCTTGTTTGTTTAAAAGATACAAGGAACTCATTCAGGGAGTTCCCACGGTAACTTGGAGCCTCTGGCAGTCATTTCAGGACGATCTGCCCAGCCCATCCATGGCCAGCATACGTGGAGCCCAGGGAGGCTCCCCAGAGGAGGGGGTCCCCAGGAGACTCTCCAGAGCGTTCCACCAGGACTGCAGGGAAATGCAGGGGGACTGCATGAAGATGCCCCCCACGTCTCTCACATTCGCTACACTCGGGTAAGTGGTGCTGCTCTTGACGGCTCCCTGGACTCACGCCAACCTGTCCTTGGTGGGGCACATCTGTAATCCCGGCACTCGGGAGACAGAGAAGGTGGGTCTCTGTGAGTTCAAGGCCAACCTGGCTTACATAGCAAGTTCCAGGACAGCCAGGACTACAAAGAAAGACTCTGTCTCAAGGAAGGAAGGAGGGAGGGAGGGAGGACCTTGAGACATGTAAGTCAGGATGGGGAGGCCCCGTTTTGTCTTGCTGACCTCCTGCAATATTTCTTTCCTGCTGTAGTAAAAACTGTGTGCATTCTGAGTGTTGACTTCTGCAACTCCACCCAGTTATCGACAGAAAAGCAAGAACAAGCAAGCAGATCCCGCACCCAGGGTAGCAGAGCACCTGCTCGTTGTCTGTCCCCTAAAGCTTGCACGTGACGCTGCCATCTGCAATGCTCGGCCACACTCACGGCCATCATGGGATACCGAGGGCCTGCATGCTGGACACGCCCGCCTTGAGGGCTCGGTCACGTGACACACGTTCACGGGACACACTTGTCCTTGTGTGGTGACCAGTGCCAGAATCAGATGGGAAATGACGGGGTAGGCACATCTACGTGGCTCAAGGCCTGGACCTGACTCGGGCAACGAGGGAATGAAGAAATACAAACAAAATCGGTGTTCACCCTGACAGAGCAGCACCGACCACGCGACAACCCAGAAACTCACACGTTACTATGTACAGCCAACAGTCTCAGGCTGCACTCATCTCCGAGCAGAAACACGGAACTGCGAGTTTTTGTGCCCACTGGTCCATCATGCCTAAACACTTGTACTTAGGCCAGAGGAAGGTGTCACCCGGAGGAAGGCTTTGCCCGTTCTTGTGGGCTTACGGCATTATGTCCTTGACAACATGCCCACACCCATGTCAACACTACACATTCATCCAGGGCTTCCTGGGTCCCACGGAAACAGGGCACAGGGCAGAGATGTTTAAAGAATGGATGCTTGTGAGACATCCTAATCTCACCCCACGACAGGCCTGCCAGAATTACCCACTCCACACCTGACACCTTCACTGTCCCAGACGCATGGGCCACCTTCTCACGGATGCCGCCTGCTCTCGCAGAGTAGTTAGCAGTTATACTTCTGCCAGTCTTGGGCCCCGGACAGGTTGGCTGTACTCTATAAGCAGTCATCATTTTGAGTTTTGGGGTGAGCTAGCTTTAGTTAACAGACACAGAGGCTAGCCTGCAACCCTCCTAGGGATGAGCAACACGTAGGCTTGGGAGAGACTGGGAGAATACCCACCACAGCTTTACAGCAAAGCACAAAGCATAACTGAAACCCTCCTAGTCTCCTGGTACACATAACAGGGAGCTACGTCTTCAGGCTCCACAGGCTCCACACTGTTTTCTGAACGCACTAAATATGGACAGAGGAAGGGAGAGAACCTGGGAAACACATTCGAGTCTATCAGCAGAAATTAAACAGCCTGTTGCTTTGTTAGTGAAAATTATGGCTTCAGAAGAAAGATATTATCCCAAGGCTGGGACCCTACACAGAAATGCCAGGGTGTTTCTTCTGATGACCGCCCCCGCCCCCAAACCCACCAGTGGCAGCCACAGTATTCCAGTCACGACGTGCTCGTTCTAGGGCTTTTGTACTTCAGGCCACCTTCCCTGAACCCACAGGGCACACCCGCCTCAGGAAGTTAAACGATATGGAGCCATGGACAGCACGGGCATCTAATGGCCTCGTCTGAGGCAGGCCCTTGAGGGAAGGTCTTCCCTCTGTAACCTCTTACAACTAAAACACTCACAAGTGTGTCCCCCATAGCTCCATCGCCGACTCTAGCCAGGCCCTCTGGGGAACCCCTGTGGTCTGGGGAGCTGATCAGCAGTTCGCAGGGACACAGGCAACCTGCGCGGCTTTCCGTGTACCAGCCGAGTCCCTGCCCCCGACCTTGGGGCAGCCCAATCCTACCACGGCTCTCAACTGGGCTGGGGCACAGCGGGGAAGGTGGGAGTATAAACTGGGGACTAACTAGGTGCTCCCCCGAGTTGGCCCCGGCTTGACTGACAGGCAGGAAGTGGAGAAGCCTGAAGGACTGAAGACAGATAGACAACGGCTGATGGCAAAGTCTCGCATTTTCCGCTAGTCCTGATTTAGCCGCTCTCTGAATGCCCATGGAAGGCCGGCCTGATGAGCAAGTTTCATCTCACAGTCAAGACCGGCGGATTCCACAGAGACACTGCCACGGCCCTCTGAGAGCAGGATCCTCAGTTCCAACACTCACTCCCAAGCCTGGGTGCCATGAAAGCTTGGGTCTGGTGGCTCTGCTCACTGAGTCCATTTCTGTCTCCCAGTTGGGTCCCAGGGGTCTCTGGGCTTCACTTTGGGCACATTCTCTCCTTTCTCTGAGTGTGACACCAGCACGCCCTCCCCTGCTGTCTTCCTCACCGGGAGTGCCCTGGCCTTTCCAATGTCCTGCTTTAGGTGCAGCGACAGAATGACTCCGGGTTGTTTTAGACCAGCGGTTCTCAACCTGCAGGTAGCGACCCCCACAGGACTTGCATATGAGATATCCTGTATATCAGATAACTTACACTGTGATTCATAACAGCAGCAAAATGGAGTAGCAACGAAAATAATTCTATGGCTGCGGGGGCACCGCAACGCGAGGAATGGTATTACAGGGCCGCGGCGTTAGGAAGGTTGAGAACCAATGCTTTGAGGAGACACAGCTGAGCACTTTTTCAAGACACAAGAAAAGAGAAAAGAAACAAATCAACAGAAGGGGATATTTCCCCTGAGAGTACAATGCTGGGCAGTAGAATTTACATTTTCCAACTGCTGCAAAATTAAAACACACAACAGCACCACATGTAAGCAAAATTAACGTGCCAGTGATGGGAAGATGTGCACACTGAGCCTCAGGGTGTGGTGGGCTGGGAGGACCACCACTGGACTGGGGAGGACCACCACTGGGCTAGGGAGGACCACCACTGGGCTGGGAGGACCACAACTGGGCTGGGGACCTGTGAATGTGGGAAGGAAGCCTCACACAGACCCAAACGGAGGGCCATGCAGCCTAACAGCAGCCAGCCGTGCTCTTTAAAAACGCGGTCAGAAGCAAACTGTGCAAGTCCGTTAGAGACTAAAATATAACACACTGGGTGGTATCTTGGACCAGAAAAAAAAGCCACTTAAGCTACAAACTGGGGCAGATGGCAGAAGTGGAATATATATAGCAGAGGTGAGGAAGAATCCAACCAACGTTAAATTCCCAATTAGGACGACCACAGTCAGAGAACTCTCTCCCTCCTCCCTCCCCCCTCCCTGCCAGAATGACATCTCGTACATTTCTCAATGGTCCAGAAGCAATGTAACACACACAGACTATGACCGATGTCGGCCCCAGATGACTGCACCAGAGGCAGCTGGGAGACTGTGGCTGGGAGGCCGTGGCACTGGTGGACTCACCATCCTCCTGAGGATCCTCAGCAGCAGCTTCTGGTCCTTCGGGTCCTCCTTGGTCACCAGGAGATCGGCAAAGGTCTCCAGGTTCTCCAGGGACAGGCTGCCCGGGTTCTCTCCCCCATACAGCTGCACCAGGATGGACAGGCACTTGGACGAAACCTCGGAGATCTCAGGGTCCTCACTGGGAAGCTGGAAGTGGGCAGAGAGGGCCAGGTAAGTTCTACAATCACCTGCAGCCCTAGATCCCGGGGAACCAATGACCCTGGCCTCCATGCGCTCCCACATACATGTGTGCACTCCCCCTCCCGCACACACGTGTACACACAGTTTAGAAAAAATCTTTGTAGAAATCATCAGGACTCGTTTACAAGGCCATCTTTCTGCATTCTTTATTCTGATTGGTCCATCCAGGTGTCTGTCCTTCTGCCAGTCACACACACAGTGCCCTCCTCCTCCACCATGGAGAACGTCCCTCCCGTACTTTCTTCTCTTTGGAAAATGACGTTAGCTGTTTAAGGGTGTCTACTTTTCGTTACACATTTTAGCACCAGCTTGCCTTCCATGCAGGAGCGAGTGTCTCTCTCCATCTACTTATGCCGTCTCTGATCTCTTCCTCCAGAGTTCTGCGGCGCTCCGGACAAGTCTGCTACTTCAAGGCTGTGGCACACTTCACTGCTCTTTGAGTTTCTGCATGCCCGCCGTTAGTTTACACATCCGGGATTTTTAAAAAATGAATGTTCAGGTGTAGTTATCACCAAGCTGCAGGTGTGTGATTATATGATTACACACTTTGACGTCGGCTCTTCGTTGAGGCCTGGATGGAGTGACTCAGCTCTGAGCACGGTCTACACACTGAGTACCATGTCAACTAAGAATGGCAGCCACGACATCACAACTCTCTCCTAGACTTCGGGAAATGGGACTGAGCTGCTCGCTATTAGATTCGACGTTGGCTGTAGATTTTTCACAGGTGCTTTATAAGCTTGAGAAGGTTTTCCATGCATGATGAGAATTCCTATCGGAAACTAGTGTAAGACTTTGTCAACTGCTTCTTCTGCGTAGACTCGTGTTATATCCAATTTTCATACTACCGTGTATCTGGTAGGACATATTAACTGACTGGCTGAACAAACCTCGGGTACCTAGAGGCAATCCTGCTGGGCCACTGTGTTCTGCCCAGGCAGGCATGCTCAGTTCACCAGCACTGCACTGAGGACTGCCTGCGGAGACGGTGGCCTGCGCTCGCTTTGATTCATGGTGTGTTGTGTGTGCAAGGCACATGTATATGTGTGTGTTTTGGTGTTCTCCTTTTGCTTTTCTGGCCATTCTTTGAAGTCAGCATCTGTGTGTGTGTGTGTGTGGTGGTGTTGTTGATGTTTTTCTTTTGCTTTTCTGGTCTTTTTTAAAATTATAATTATTGAAGTCAACATCAGATTGACCCCATCCTAAGCAAATGGATTGGGAAATATTTTCCTCTCTTTTATTTTCTGTAAGAAATTATGTAAAACTGTTACCCAATCTTCTGTTTGGTAGAATATTCTGGTGAAATTATCTGGGTCTGGACAGATTAGAAATTCAGTTTCTTTAATGATTCTAGAACATCTCGATGTTATCTGCAGTTATAAAGGAACAGGTTAGTTTCTTCATGAACACAAAGTGTTCGGAACATTCCCCAAGGTTGTGCTCCAGGCTGTGTCCAGGCCTCCCATAACGTCCCACGTCAGTTATCTCTGTTTCTCTAATCTTTGTCAGTTTCTTGTAAGCTTTCAGCTTTGCTTTCTTTTCCCCAAAGAGCTAACTTTTTTGTTTGTTTGCTTGTTTTTTGAGAAAGGGTTTCTCTGTATTGTTTTGGAGGCTGTCCTGGAACTCACTCTGTAGACCAGGCTGGCCTTGAACTCACAGAGATCCTCCTGCCTCTGCCTCCCGAGTGCTGGGATTAAAGGTGTGCACCACCAATGCCCGGCAAGAGCTAGCTTTTTAAATTTAATTGCTTTTCCTCTTTTTATTTGCTTTGAGTTATTTTATATTTACTTATCTCCTAAGGTAGCACATAAGGTTTCAGGACAGCATTTTTATACATGTGTGTTATTGTTCTCGGCTCTCCCACAATGCTTGCTGGTTCCCTCCCTATCCCCCAGACAGTCTCATCCCCTCCCTCCCTCCCTTCTTCCCTTCCTCCCTCCCTCCCTCTCTGCCTCCCTCTCTCCCTTCCTCCCTCCCTCCCTCTCTGCCTCCCTCTCTCCCTTCCTCCCTCCCTCCCTCCCTGCCTCCCTCCCTTCCCTTATGAGTTTTGTTTGCTTTGCAGCACTGGGGGTTGAGCCCTGGACCCCAGGAATGCGTAGCAACCACCTCACTGCTAAGTGTGGGTTCCAGGACCCATTCATTCTCCAAAGCATCCTTGCTACAGAACCCAGGCTGGCCTCCCAAGTGCTGGGTCGTACACTGTGCCAGCACGCCAGGCTGGGCTTTCCTTTTTTATTTTAAGTTTCTGGTATGATAAATTTTTCTCTAAATGATACTTTGAGCTACATCCTACGAATTTTGATGTATTTTCATTTGAGTTTAATTTTATGTATTAAAATTTCCTTTGAGAATTCAAGTGTGTTTGCTTTTAGATGTTAGAAATTTTCTGGATGTCCAGCTCTGGCTCACAGCTCAAGGATGCAGTCCGTCAGGGCGGGGCTGGAAGCGGCTGCTCACTGACACCCACCGTCAGGAAGCAGAGAGGGATATGTGTTGCCACTCAGCTGCTTTCCCCATCACGCAATCACAGTCAAGGACCCGAGCTAAGGGATGGCACCGCCCACAGTGTGCAGTTGTGTCCGTCCCCCCCCCCCCCCCCCGCTAAGTTAGTATAGTAAAATAATCCCCACAGCCACGTGCAGGGGCCAGTTCCCAAGTGCTTCTAGGTTCTGTCACCTTGACAACCAACACTATTGCAAATGGCTTATTCTATATAGAAACTTCACTGGTTTTATCTCCATTGTTTCCTGCACTCCCAACTTTATTTATAGACTCAACCACATTCAATTAAATTTGAACTTAAAATAAACATGTCGTCATTGTGATTTAAGGACACCCGTTTGGCACCGTGTATTTTCTCTGTCAGCCTAGCTTCTCGGGAGCATTCTTCCTGGGCACCCTGAGTATGTTGTGGGGCGGTGAGATATAAGGAGATACACACCCGCAACCTGGGCATAGTTCTAAGGAAACACACTCTTGAATTCTAGGAACCGATTTAAAGTAATTTAAAATCACAGCTGTGGTGTGTTTGTTCTCTTTAATCAATATATCCAACACAATGTATTTCAAAAACCTTTCTCGTTGTGTATTCTATTTTAAAAATATTACCTACCACAGTGCTTTGCCAAAAAATTATATGGGGATATTTAGTTCCAGAGAAGAAAATACATTAACAAAGAAAGGACAAAAATAACTTCACATCAATGTTTCCTGCCCCTTTGATGTTGCTAACGGCGCCTGGAGACAGATCTCTCCACTGTTGGGACATCGTTTACAGGATTCCACCCAAGGACATCAATTCTGACGCTCGATTTCATACATCAAGCTTGCCCACCGGGCTGCAGTGAGAATATCACTTAGTGCTGGAAATCCCCTGTGTCCCTGACGCTGCTCCCTCACTGAGGAATGAGGGATGCCGCTGGCTCTCCGCCCACACACATCATGCTCTTACACGTGAGGGTTTAGAAGGACAAAGACCTGCCACTCCCTCTATTGACTTGACTCTACGTCTACCCATTCCAAAGGCAAACCTAAAGGCATGGGCGGCACCGGTGGGCCCTGACTTGTCCTGGAAGGCACCCAAAATGTCCTTCAGAGTTTGCTGTCAAGTACCAGATGGTGGGGAAACACAACTCCTTTGAAAGGCCCTTGCCCTCACACAGGACGGTTGAAGCTTCAGAGGAAGTGTGTGTCAACAGTTGCCTTAAAGAGCAAATGATGGCCTGTTGTGTTTAATAATAGCATGCTTTCACAAAGCAACTTGGACTTAATGGTTTTAGTGTTTTTATTTTTTCCCCCCACTATTGGAAATTTGCCACAAATCCTCATCCCACAGTGAACACGGCTCCATGAGTTCTCTGGAGTCCCATGCCCCACTGTCCTCACCTCTGGGTGGTACACCCATCCTAAAAGCTGCTTTTTCCACTGCCATCCCCTTCCGAAATGACGTGATTACTGGCTTCTGGTCACACTTTACAGAGCACTCACTGGTTCCTCCTGGTTTACAACAGCACAGGAGGGGAAAGAGGAGGAGACAGAGCCCAGTAGCACAGCCAGGAAGACGTGAGGTCTGCCGGGAGGAGCCAGGGGGAACAGAGCCCAAACGGGGAAGAGGAAGAGGAAGAGGAAGAGGACTCAACTTGCTCTCACCCGAGAGAGGATGCACCAGGAAGATATGGTGGGAAGAACGTGGAGGCCCTGTCGTCCCCATGTGACAGGGACAGAATAAAGAGCACTGCGGACCGGACAGCCAGGGTCCTCTGACCACATGACCGTGGACTGGACACCCATGTGTTGGAAACACTGCCAGAAGGAGCCACGGCTCCAGAGTGTGGGGGTGTGGGGACGTCTGCCGCAGAGGGCGGAGGGGTGAGGGTTCGTCTGTGAGGGCATTCCCAGGGCGCTTCGCTGGCGCAGGAGGGTGCACCCTGCGTGCGGGCAGCACAATGCCCTGGGTTTGGGGTGGGGGACAAAAAGGCATCTACTGCACCTATTGCTCTCTGCCCCGACTGTGGACACATGTGGCCAGCTGCTTCACAGTCCTGTGACACGCCCTTCCCCGCCATGATGGGCCCGTCCTTGCTGCCGTGGTGTCATAGTTACTGTCAGGGAGTCCCAACGCTGCCGGCGCGGGGGGCATGAGGTACACATCCCACCAGGCGCTGCCATGGGACCACCAGCCGAGGCTCCTCTCAGGAAAGTCCTCTGAGCAGCTGGCTGGGGGGTGAGGGCGGGCGCCAGCTGACGCTGGAGGAAAGACTTTCAAGGTTTTAGTCCCCGAGATCAAAGGCCCATGACGTCACTCTGGAATGCATCCAGAACTAGGGAGGATGAAGAAGAAACAGCGGAATCTGGAAATTCCTTCATTCCAGAACCTGGGTGGTAACCTGTGTTAGCGGTGAAAGCCTTTCAACTTATCCGTTGGAAACTTTCATAAAAGTGTTTGG